GCTCAGTCTGCAACAACGATCATTCACTTCAAGTCCCAGGCAGTCAGCAGAAACATCTCAGGCTTTAGCATTTGCAGACCATAAAGACTCTGAGCCTTCTGAGTATGTCCAGGCCTTGCCTGTTGATGAACCGTGTGTGCACCATTACCAGGGAGTAACTCACCACAGTCTTACCAAGAACACCAAGAAGTTTGTTGAGGCAACAGTGGGGATCTTCCATCATGGAAGCTCTGGGATGTGGTGGGGCTGAACAGCAGGGCTGAGACTACATGACTCATGTCTTCCACCTCCATTGCCACTTTCCCTCTTTCCCTAATGACACCCACGGAGCACGGAGAAGGCAGCAAAAGAGGACACAACTGGGACAGTTCAGAGCACAATGATCAGGGTGGGGCTAAGGTATCTGAGTCGGGAAAGAAAGTACTGGGATTATGGGTAGAAGTTGGGACAGAAACTAACTGGACGGAACGGGTGACTTGAGTTGAGAGCAGGGACAAAGGCTGGAGGACTGGGACCCCATTAATGGAGCGGCATGGTTGGGCAAAGAGGTCAAGCATGACTCTGAGGTTAGGAGCTAGTGTCTGGAGAAGAGAGACAGAGAAAGGAGATAGTTCAGACAAGGATATACAGTTTGAAGAGGAAAATTCAAACTGGTTAAGCAAAAGGATTAGGACAAATCACCAGAGTTGGAGAACGGGATAACAAGCCAGAGATGTGACAGGAAAAACAATGGTGGCAAGAGAGCTGAGTTTCAAGCAGGATTTGGAGTCCTATGGGGTGTTGGTGGAAGAGACTAGCTAGATGAGGAAATGGGGGTGGAGAAGAGAGGTGGCTTTTGGGGTCTGGGAGGGGAGGTGCAGGGAGGAGAAGAGATCGAGAGAAAGAATGGACTGAAGCATGTCCTACAACAACATGCTGCCTTCCCAGGGCTACACTCAAGCCCAGGTCCTGAGTCTCCAAGTCAGCTCTGAAAACACCAGTAAATGATGGAGCCCATAGAGAGGTTAACAACCTACTCCTCTTGCATCCTATCCCGATCTGAAGGTGGCAAGTCTGCAGGGCAACCATGCAGTTGCATTTCTACTTTTTTAATTCATTTCTCAAATACCAAGGAAATTCCACCACCCAGCACACTGTACACTCATGCAGAAGGGCATGCACGCAAATGTCCCTGAAAGAGCACTCACTGCTGCAAAGCTACATGTGCAGACAGACATTTCCAAAGCCCCCCAGGCCCTCTAGAGAGAACAACTCCTCCTCCTCGTGTGAAAACAATACATAAAGCACCAGCTTTATGTAGAATACCTGACTTTGAGTGCTCAACTTTGTCATTCTAGGAATGTCTTTTTAACTTAAATGATGGGTGTGCATAGCCAACTGTGACAGAGACTGCCCACACACTGGAGAGACTTGTTTCTCTACTGACCTATGAACTTTGCATTTTCACAAAAATCAGGTTTTTAAGGTCATTTTTGGGTTTTGCTTTGTTGCTGAGGGCTTTAACCTACTGAGGGGTGGGGGAATGACTATATCACACATCTGCCTTGTCACATGTCAGTGACAAATAAACCTCATACCCAGGGAAACTCTGCTACAGACTGTGACACTTGGTTTCAATACTAGAGGCAAGTGATTTGCGTATGCTCAGTTTTCCTAGAAAAGAGAGAGACTTACATGAATGCTATGCCCCAGTGCTGCCCAGCCTCATTCCCAGCAGACTCAAAGAGAGGTAGCGCAACCAAGGTGATGGTGGGAGCAATTGTCAGGGGGCCGATGAACCTCATCAGAAATCCAATCAGGCCAGAAAATCCAACGAAGATTTGAAAGCAGGAAGCTACAATGATAGCTCCTTGCACCTGGAAAAATGGAGAAAGAAAACAGAGGTTGGAAGACCCTTTCCTTCATAAGTCAGTGCAAATCCAGTGTGAGAGCCAGGCTCAATCTCCAGTCACAGACTGGCACAGAGGTCTCCCACTGAGACTGTCTCCCACAGTAAAACCTGGCTGAACATTACATGTGGGGATGGACCACCAAAGTAGCAGCACAGCACCTCTCTCTTTGGCTGATAGATTTAGTCCTCACCAGGGCTAATTTTGTTCCAAAGATCACCTCCTCGCTGTTCTCTTGGTCCACCCAAGCATGCATCAGCTGCCCTGCACTCTCCTTCCTGCTCCCCCCAAAGCAGGGGAAAACCTCTTGCCCTGAAAACAGGAGCACGGCTGTGATCTCTACTATCTCCCTTCTGGGAAGAACTTGAATCACTTCAGCACGCCGGTGGGGCAGGTGAGTCATTACAGCCTCTGTTTTTTCTGAGTATTAGTTTCTCTCCGGGAACATATTTATCACCCTGAACTGCCCTGTGTTTGACAATCACTGCTAAGGAGCCAGCAATTACATTCTGAAATGCTGCTCTCTTCAGCATCAGCTTCAGGCAGGGTACTCAGGGGTGGGGCTGCTCTCTGCCTTCTCGGATTTGGTGATAAGTCCAGGCTGGGCCCTCTGTGGTGCTGAGCACCTTCCCTCCCCCAGCTCCAAAGGGAAACACAGGGTCTGGGTGAACCACTCAGCCTGAAAGGAAGAATCAGCAGTGTCCTTGTGATAGATTTATGTGTATCAGCAAAGAGAGCAGCCTGTGCTGCACAGCAAATCCTTGGTGAGCTCTTAATGCTTCCCAAGTGGTTTGCAAAGCACACCAACAAATGGATCGACAGAGGCAAATTTAGCCACTTGCTCTAATAAGACAATTGATGTAGAATGAGGCAGTGAGATCCCTGACCTTTCCTCCTCCTTTCTGACTACCTAAGATGCCCTTTCCCTTAATATTTACAGTAGGTTTTGCCTTGTTTTTCTTTTTGCTAGGTTTCCTGTGCTTAGAGAGGGTCCTTTTCTTGGAAACATTTTCCCTCCCTCAAGGCTAGCCATGCTTCATGGAGAAGGGATCTGGCTGGACCAGTAGAGACTTTGCAGGGACCATAAATCACATGAGGAGGTCTGTATGTCTCCTGTTCAGCAGGAATGAAGCACCTGCTTTTTTGACAGAGAATAAATGCTTAGGAAGCCGCAACAGGGAGAAGGCCAAGGTCCATTAGGAATAGTTTCTCCAGCATTGGAAGTTTCTCCAGCAGTGATGGCCATGACATGGTCAAGCACTTTTCTGAAAGCAAAGAGTCCTGATACAGAGGGGGTGCCACTGAAAATGCAATATACCTCTCGCATCCGTGTCTGCCAGACTTCAATGAATTCTGGTGAAGAAGCATTCACCAAGGTGGCATTCTGTGTCCAGGCAGGGCACTTCCAACTGGGGAGAGACAGCATTGCCAAGGTGGGGGTCAGGAATGCAAAAGTCCCTCCTTGAATAATAGGCAACCTTGAAGGAGAGCAGAGGGAAAAGATAACAAGTGAGGATTCTAGAAACTCAGCTCCATAGGGGTCAGAGAAAGGAAAGCAAAATAAATTTAAAAATCAGTTTGCCCATCACCTCTGACAGTATCTTTTGAATTGTTCTTGCAGGTCTCCATCAGTGACCATGGGTGGGAATTGCAGCCCATTGCATGCAAGAGAAACAATGTGGGGGAAGAGCTGAGGTTCAAACAACAGCAGTGGAGGGGCAAATTGGTGCTACAGTCAAATGCTGCTACCTACATTAAGGAAAAATAGTCTTCCTAAGGGCTGATGAGACCACAGACCTGCACAGAGTAGAACAACCAAAGGAAAAATCTGGAGGAGGGGAGAAGACCAAGGAAGAAAGATGCCGAGACTCTGAACAAAAGCTCAGCGTCGACCTTGGTCCAAATTTTGCCAATATCTAGTTGTTCCCTCCATCCCCTTCGGCTGCCTCAGTTTTCTTCACAACCAGTTCATGAACACAAGGACATGCACTGGCTACTCCCCATGTCACAACCATTCTCAGTCTGAGGGCAGTAGAAAATGTGACTTGGCTTTTAGTACACCAGGTTTTAAAGCCAATTCCTCTGCCATGTTTCCACTGACACTAGAAAGGAAATCTGCAAGGAGGGGTCTAGGGGCACTGAATGGGTGAGACCTTGGCTCTCCCCCCATGCCTTGTGTTTTCTGGCTTACAGTAACGCCTCTCTGGGGAGCCCTCAGGCTAGCAAGGAGCTCGTAGCTCCAGAGGAGCTCAGCACTGGTTTTGTGCAGAGCTTTATAAAGCAGAGTGATGCTCCTATGAGCTACACCAGCCTCTTCTCTTTCCACACATGAAGAAATGGAGACATAGACCTAAAAGGCCTGACTGGCTCCTCTAAACCCCACATGCTTTAAGCCCCCACTGCAGTGCAAGTTGTCTTAGCCATTCCTCTAGTGTGCTTGAAAAACCCAAAGCTGCCTGAGGGCTGGCATAGCAGCCCTGAAATAGCAAGAGAAACCTCTGAGGTGCCTCTGCTTCCTTCCCTTTAGGAAGTATCCCTGGGAGGAGCCCCCAAAGCAACCTCTCCTTGTCCCAGGATCTCTCATGGCACCTGCTCAGAAACGCAATGGGGCATCAAGCTGGGTGAGTGCTTTTGCAGGTCACAGATTTCCCTGAAACAGAGGCATTTCCACCATTCTCTGGAAAGCACCTGAAAACAAGAGATGGCATAGCTGTAACAGCATCATGTCTCTGTCACCTAAAACAGATATTTTTACCACTGCAATTACCAAGCACAACTGAAGCACTGTCGAAGCTTGGACGGTGAGTTATATTTGAGTATCAGTTATCTGAGGAGTCACCTACTTATGGTATTTGGCCAAATATGTTGCAGCCTTCAAACAATTTTGCTGGGCAAGGCGAAAAAAAAAAAAACAAACAAAAAGAAACAGAGAAGGCCCAGTGCCATGACTTAAATTAACAATAGATTTATAGCTTCTGCTGTGTTGGTCCTTGAGCTATTTCACAGCCAGTGCTGTGTATGTGTGGGCTTGGAGCAAAACGGGGTGCCAAGGTGATGCTTATGGGCACACTGAACGCTTTCCAGTGGGGTTTGCAAGAGGAAAGCTGCAGGATTAGCGAAGGAAATATTACACTGATAATGACTACGTGATATCATTTACTAAGCAGGGCTCACCATCACGGCCAATGACCTGTGTCTCGTCTCAGGAGCCTCTTGGATGGTGTCTCCAGCAACTGAGACTTGTTGCTGCTTTTTCATGCTGTGTAACATGACCGAGCTGCAGGTTGCAAATCCATGCTCATCTCTCTACTGTCTCTTAAACAGCTCATCTGCAAAGAGGATTTACCTTGCTTACATTCAGATTGTGCCACGAATCCTTGAGCATGGCAAGTGGCACTGTGTAACAGGACATGCTGCAGAGCTCCTCCCTGAGTCCCTAAGCAGCAGCACATGCCATTCAATTTCTCCTAATTATCCCCTCCCCTAGAGTTTCCTATGGAAACTCTAGCAGAAGGATCCTTGGGGTAAGGGGCAAGCAGATACTTTTTACTGAATGTTGCAATGCTTTATTGTTTTGAGGATAGATTCCTTATGAGCCCAGGAAAAGGTGTATGAAGTATCAGGAGATGCAAAAGTCAGAACAGCGAGGTAGCCCTGCAAAGCTCTCATGTACAGTAATTTCAGGGTGCTTTGGCATGTGCCCTGATTGCCCAAGGGTAGCAAATGACTCTCACTGATAGATAAACTCAACAGCAGGGTGGTGGCCAAGCACATAGTAACTGCTCAGCACACAGTAATTGCTCATGTGTCCCAGTTCTTGCATTTGGCCTACCTGACTCCAAAGAGGACTTGCAGCAGGGTGCAAATTCCTGAGACAAAGAAGATGGTGCTGATCAAGTGGCTCTGGGTGAGTAGGTCGTGCTGGAGGCAAAGCTCTTTGGAGAGGATCAGTGGGATAGCTACAAGACCTCCCATGGCTGTCAGGAAGTGCTAGAAGCCACAGAGAAAGACGGGGTAAAGAAGGACACAGAACTGGCTCTGTATTATTACCGTGTTGTTGAGGGAAATCTGAAAACAACTCACAGATTTGTGTTTGGGTGGTACTAGTATTACCCATTCTCTCTTCTGTTTTAGCAGCCTTAATTCTCTGTTAGGGGCTGTTCCAAAGTACCTACAAGAATTGCAATGTATCCACTCAAATTTCTCCTACTTTTCGTGCCCAAAGACCTTTGTAGTGCTCTGGACTCCCCTGTCAGACCACTGTCAAACACAACTAGCTTATCTGCAGCACCTGCAGACAAAGCTGTCAGGGCTGCTCTTCCAGTAAGATGGGGACATGCCAAGGTAGAGGGAGAGAGCAATCAGGCAAAGTAAATGCAAATATTTAAGTCTGTCTCATTCACACCATAAATGATAACATTAACAGTTGGCACATTGGAGCTACAAATTCTTTACCATCAGTACCTTTTCTCACACAGTGCAGTTATGAATAACCATAAAAACTGGATGCCAAAGAATGGAAGAATTGGGCATTGTATTTGCCACAAGAGTCATAAACATATTTCTACAACGACCTTTAGCTAATGACTAAATATGAAAATAATTTTTCAAACTTATTTTGCTTTAATTATTAACCCTGGTTGTGAGCTCTCACCTTGGAGCACAGTGGTGGAAGTGGTGGCACTCAGAAACTCACTGTGTTCATTGGCGGCATGTTTTATTAAAGTTATGATGCTGCCTTGCTCAGAAAACCTTGGGTTGATAACACTCTAAATTTGAGACAACCATTTAAGGAAAAAAAGTACAAAACTCCATCAAGCTCCAAGCACGGTCCATCATTACCCTAATCATTCTGAGGTCTCTCTTCCCCAAGGCTCCATACCCAGCATGGCATTGGTGGCATTGTGTGGTTTAACACCCCTGGGCATGGACACCAGCCAAAGCAGTGTGTGCACTTCTGCTTAGTTTTTGTTGCCATGGGAAGGCAGAGTTCAGAAGCCCTTACACAGTTTACCTTCAGCTGAGGTACACAACCAGTTCTTATTAAATATTTGGCCCCTGCCTCGGGACTCTGCCTTACCATTTGCACTTCAAAGGGTGCAATGTAGCTGTGGGCACAAGGATAACAGTCAGTGCTCAAGATGTGGTGGGAAGGGCTTGAGTTCAACAAGATCCAGTCCCAGAGCTCCAGTCATGCCCAGTGAAGGTCAAGCACTCACAAATTCAGGTTTTACCCCCATTAACTGGCTGAATAGCCATGAAACTTCCACCCACTCCCAGCCTCCACCTGCTTCCCCGTCACACCTGAATGCCCAGCAGGATGCACAGATACCAGGGAGGCACATCTGTGACAGTGTAGGCAAGCTTGGTCCCACCATGGCCTGTGCCCCCACCTTCCTCTGGGCCCTGGGCAGCACAATCTGGTGAGGAGCAGTAGTGGCTTCCATCTTCAACCTGGAGAACAGGAGAGACCCTTTGTTAGCCACAGGCACCCTGTGCCCTGCAGGCACCCAGCAGCCACCTGTCTTGCAGCCACATTCCATGTCTGGCAGGAACACCTCCTGTGTAGCTTTTAACAGTGCTAGGATATAAAAAAAAAAAAAAAATAAGGAGGGGAAATTAAAACTGAGGTATAAAACACCGATAGAACATTTTCATATGCACATGCATGTCTCGGCCTGAAGAAACATTAGACAGTGTCTCAGCCTCAAAGGGACATCTGGACAAAGTTTGTTAGTATCATTAAAGTCTGGCTAAGGATGAAGAAACTGCAATCAGAAGCAAGGGAGAGTGTGCAGTGCGTTCATCAGTAAAAGCTGCACTGTCCTCTGGTCTCTGCCCCTCCTGGCAATTTCACTCAAACAGCATTTTTGATAAAATATGCTAAAACACCTAGCTGCCACTAATTACTGAGTAAAAACATGTTTTATATTTAATTTCCTTGATCTTCTCTTTCCAATCCTTACCAGTGTTCTGCCTCAGTAAACTCACCTGCCTTTTTTCTTACTAGAAAACCTCACTCCTGCAGAGGAACTGGGTAAAACACAGGGACATCAGTGGATGGGAAATCCCAGTGTCCATTCCAAAGGAGCCAATTGAAGTTGCTCCCCAGGAGGTCTCAGATCCCTCCCCACCCAGAGCAGCCAGAAGCCCAGGGCTCCCCAGGGAGCTGTATGTCTTGCAGAGTTAACTTTTATAAAGATGCATTTTGCCAAGGAATTTCTTTGTTCAAGATCCCTCCCCAGAGACACCCAGCTCTAGCTGTTTCTACCATAGTCCCATTCAGATAAACTACCTTAATGGACTTAAAGCCTGAGACTCTGCTATGAGATACCTAGGGCAGAGACACTTCTTTAACAAACATGGTGTATTTATCCAGCCTAGGCAAACTGGGAACCTTACAGATACTTAAAAAGAGATAGGTGAAGGCAGAGTTAATTCCAACTGAACTCAGGCATGAACTGCAAGAGCAAAAGGCATTTCTTAATAACTCCCTGTGGAGACATTTCATTTCAGAACAAGACAGCCTGAGCCATGGATTAACAAATGTACAGCAAGGTGCTTAAGACTGCCCATGCATGGAGTTATTTGGGGACAACTACTCCTGAATAACACCATGGGTAGATGAATGCTAAGCTAGGCAGACAGCAGTAAGCTCCTTTCTTTTCATTGCAGTTTTTCCTGAGTTAACTAGGAGGCATATTCCAGCCAGGCAGAGCCTGTGCCAGCAACAGAGCTGCATGATCATCACATGAGGGCCTGACCCTCCCCAGGAGCTGGAGAGGAGTGAGCAGGCAAGGCTCAGCAGGGGAAGGATGGAGTGGAGGTAACAGGATGAGACAGGACTAGAGGCAATGGACTCAAACTGAAATGCAGGAGGTCCCATCTTAACATCAGAAAACACCTTTTCGCTGTGAGGGTGACCAAGCACTGCACAGGTTGCCTAGAGAGGTTGTGGATCCACCATCCTTAGAGATATTAAAAAACTATCTAGACACAGTCCTGGGCAGCTGGCTCTGGGTGACCCTGCTTGAGCAGGGGGTTTGGAGAAGGTGACCTCCAGAGGTCCCTTCCAGCTTCAGGCAGCCTGTGATGCTGAGATGCTGGCAGGAGGACAAGGCAGGAGCAGTGTGGAGCAGGGAAAGAAAACCACTGTTGAAGGTTCTCAGCCCAGCTGCTCCCATGAATCCAGGGGACCAGGACACCTTCCATGTGCCTCAGGCTCCAGGAACAGCATCAGGGTCCTCAACCAGATCTTAAATAAGTGCATCAGGAGGGCAGTCAAAAACTGAACTGCTTGAACTACAGGTAAAAGACCTTTGTCTTCTACCTTCTTTGGGGTGATTCAAACCAGAAGAAGTCACAAGCCTGATATGCATTATGGCAGAGCAAGTAGAAACAGAGACCCTGTTAAAAATAATGAAAGAAAACCTCTGGTTCTGAGCACTTCCCTGACCCTCTGCCCACAACTGGCACAGCACCCCCACCTCCACTGGTCACAGCGAGCTCAGCCAGAGCTATCTAAGAAATGCGGGACTTGTATACTGGGAGGTTAAAAGCCTCCCCAGACAAGTGGTTTGTACCGGCAGCAAGACGGTTGCAGGACCCCACTCCTTCACACCTGCTGACAGAAAAATAAGCATCTTTTTTAGTTTCTAATGGAGATGATCCCCGCTGTGAGATACTGTGCCCCAGGCTCTTGCCCTGTGGCTGTTACAGCCAGCAGCATTCCCAGTGCACCACACACCCCTGGATTGGCATACCATTTACAGCTTCTATTTCCCTGCTGTATCTCCACAGGGTGCCCTCCCCCACTGACTCTTAAACCCCTTTTTACCCACCTTTCTGAAAATTCATCCTACTGAAAATAGGTTCAGAAGACAAAGAAACACATTCCTTACTAGGCTAAATTTCTATTGTAATTTTACTAATTAACACATAAAATGCTGTACACAGGAACACGGCCACAAGGAGCCACGAGATCACTTGTTTTTTAGAACAGATACACTCGCGCTGCCATTTATCTCCATTGTTGTTTTAGAAATAATAGAGAGAAAAGAAGTTAAAAGGGTGCCAGAGAGTAGAAAGTATGCTGAGGCTGCAGCAGCAGCAGGCGGCTGTACTGAGGAAATCATTCCTCAGATTCTTGTCGATAAGGGCCAAGACAGACTTTATCACACATCAGAATCCTTGCAGCCAGCCCAAGCCCCCAGTTTTCCCCTTCTCCTCCTTTCACAGGGCTTGCACCTGTTAATGCAAGAATTACCCTTCAGAAAGCAGACTCACCACAAAGCTGGGGTTATCTAGCCCGTTGAGATCTTTGTCTGAGGAGGGAGTCATGCCTTCCACTTTCCTTCACCAACTGCCTTGAAAAAGAAAGACCAGTCAGAAGAGGAAAGCCTCCCAAATTCCCACTCCTCCCAGTCAAAACAGCTCTAAAGAAGCGGGGTGAGAACATGCAGAAGCGGGACTTCAGGAGCCAAGCAGCGCTCAGTTCTAGCTGTTCATGTGAGCTGTATTGCAGAAGCATTTCCTTTCCTTTGGCTTATGTAAGTGACTCCTTTTCTCCGGCTGATTAGAGGACCGGCATTCAAACAAAACTGGAGAGCAGCCCTTCCCTGGAATGAGTGAATCAGTAACTGATGACAGAAAAAACTTCATCCATAGGTAAGGATGCTCGAGAGTATCAGGTGTCCTGGCACAGCCTTGAAACTTGTTGCTTCATTAGTGTTTCAACAGCAACTTTCATTTTCTGTGTGGGTTGGGCCTCTTTGAAGATCTTTGTCCTCATCTTTAGGAAATTCAATTTCTAGATAGTTTCACTTATTTCATATGTAAACTACTGTGTATTTTGGCTTAGGTACAAACATCATCATCTTGTATGATACTCATATTACAGCATGAAAAAAATGTGGCTTTTACTGGGAACTTATTTAAGGCAGCAACCAATGATCAAGTGTTTAGATATATTAGTTGTTTAGCTTATATAAGTTTTAAATAGAATGAATCAGAGTTACAGTATTGTGTGATTTAGAATGCTGTTTGCTTAGCTTTGCTTGCTTAGCATGAGTAGCTAGAGTTACTGGAGCCTTGGCCCATAAGCTGTGGGTTTTCACCAAGATATGCTTTTAGCTGAAATACAGTTAATTTTCCTAGTAACTAGTACAGTGCTGTGTTTTGTCTTTAGTATGAGAAGAATACTGATAATACATGGATGCTTTAGTTGTAATATTTATCCTGAGTCTAAGACTTTTTTAGTTAACCATGTTCTGCCAATGAACAAGAAGTGCAAACCACAAGATAAGAAGGCTACAACCATCAGCAGAAGCTCAACTCGATAAAATAAGGTAACAGCTTGCCTGCATGGAGACAGAAAAATAATCTAGTAAGATATTAGAAGACTCCAGACCAAAAATCACCATTGGACTAAGAAAGTGCATTATTTGCACATCAGGAGCAGGTGTATAAGTCATAAGCATATAATTGCTCGGGCATTTGTTCATGGTCCTTCTCTGAAGACATTCAGCTCAAGCTGACCTGCTGCTGTACCACTCTATTAAATTGATTATTTTTATAAATTCTGATGCCTGAGACTCTGCTGTGGGAAACCTATGGCTGAGACTGAAGGAGGAAGAAGTGCACCTGACAGTGGGTGTATGTGTGAGAGTGAAAAGGGGCACCTGTCAGCTCGTTGGAGCTGCTCACTGCAAAGGTGCTCTGGTCTCAGCAGTTATGGTCTTGGGTGGGGTGTGTGTGTGACTCGTTGAATGCTGTGAGAATGCTCAGGCAGCTGCTTCTTTCACACAAGTCATCATAACATGACGTCAGAGAGGTACAGAAAATGTAAGACTGAAAAAAGACGACTTCAGGTCATCTGATTATCTCCATGCAGCTAAGGTTCCCAGCTGGTGGCCATCAGATGGCCCAAAGCATAGTTACTCTTTTCTTAACAAGTAGCAAATGGTGTTAATGCGCCACGCCACCCCAACCCTACTTAGATTACTTTAATTTAGTGGCTTCCTGAGGCAGTGCACTTCTCAGACCAGTTGCAGAGAACTCCAGCAGAGTTGCTATTGCCTACATGCAAGTGATACCTACACAATCCATTGAGAACATCTGATTTCCACTCAGGACACAGTGGAACTGAAATAAGCCCTGGTCCCTGTTCCTCCTGGAGAACTTTGGTATTCTCAGCCCTTCTCTTGAGACCAGGACTGCATTACAGGATGGGACAACCTTGCCCTAAACACTATCAGTGAATTTATGACCTGCTGGACAGATAAATTCTAAGGCATCAAAATCATTGAATCATAGAATGGTTTGGGTTGGAGGGGACCTTAACGATCATCTAGTTCCAATTTCCCTGCCATGAGCAGGGATACCTTCTACTCGACCAGGTTGTTCAAAGCCCCATCCAGCCTGGCCTTGAACACAATGATCAGATGTTCACAGCTTTGCCAGGTTTCTTCTCTGAAGCCTCATTATATAGGAATGTCCACATATTTTTAACCACAGAGGGTGCATTTCCAATCTCCAACCTGTGTGAAAGTTTTCTTGGCACAGGGCCACTTTTCTTCTGCAGGCTTTAAACAAGAAGTCTTTTCCTGGTCAAACTACCCTGGACACTTTAACCCTGAACTCTACCAATTCCTAGCACAGAGGGAGCAGCACAAAACCTGCCAGTTGTATAGACTTACTCATCTCTTTTCATCTAATGCACTATGTGGTTGCAGTTCATTGCATATTTACTGTTTCATTGTATATATCAGCCGTGTCCATTAAGCAATACCAGAGGGAATGCACCATTGCAAGGCTCTGAGAAAAGAAGCATCAGATTTTCCTATCCCTTTTTTTAGGTACATTCCTGCTTGCATTCCTAGATGATAACAGTGCAGTTCTCCAAGCAGTCATCTAAATCTGATCGTTCTGATATCCTCCCCTTACCATACCCTATTGCAAGAATCAGTCACTCTCTGTGCCTCACAGTCTCTCCAATTGTGAATTTTCTTTACACAGTATTCCTCTGGAGCTAGTCTTTCTTCCCAGTAGACTTTTATGACATCTTCCATTAAAAAAGGCCCTGCACCTCTTAATTTCAGCCCAGCACCTGTTCAGTGACTCCTCAGTCCTGCCATAACTTTGTTTTCAGATGAGACCCAGGCATTCAGTAACCAGGGTTTCTTCTTTTCTTTAGTTGCATAAACTTGTGCAACATCCCAAAGGCATGGGTACATAATAACACCTGTATCATCTACACTAGCATGTGAAACTGCCCATACGAATAGTATTAAGTAAACAGAGTGAAAAGAACAAAATAATAATAAGAGTAACAATAATAAATCAGTAACAATAACAATTCTTTTTCTCAAAAAAGCTGGGCAGAAAAACAGTTTGCCCTTCTGGGAAATCCTGCAGTGGAAAAAAACGCACTTTTTAGAGTACCAAAAGATTGCAGATTTCCATGGAAAACGCAGGAAATAGGTCCTACATAGCCAAAAGCCTGAATGTCAGAGTAGACCTGTTAGGAATGAAGAGTTTAACAATACCAGCCTCTGGCCAACAGAAGGTTAATAATCTCTAATCTAGATGTAAGTTACAAAATAGTACCATGTAGGTGTCAAAGTCGAAATTTATGGGATTCTTGTGAAATGCCCCAGTGTGGAATATTCTGCCTTTGGAAATAAGCAAGAAAAATAGGAAGTCTCTGTGTAATGCAAATATTTGTGTATATCCTGTATATATGCACATGTAGATATTTATGTATATATAACAGGATTAGCAATAAATTACTAAACTGTGAAGTTTTTCAGAACAAGGAATTTTTCAGTTAGCAAAGATGAATGCTTAAGTAGTAATGCCATCAACTACTGGTTATTGATGGCAGCCTAATCATTATATGAACAGCTTTTAGTATAAACGAACAGGTATCTGCCTGTTCAAGTTATTTATTCAAGTTATTCATTCAAGTTATTCGGGAAATAAAACAAAAAAAAAGTATAATACAGCTTGCCTTTAGACTTGTGTGTCTGGCATATCTCCTGCTATCAGTCAAGTTACCCGGCCAGCTGCTCACAACAGTAAAGGCTGGCTTGGTTTATGCCCCTGGGGGCAGAAGCAGCCAACTATCTGTTGAAAGCAACTAATGAAGGAAAAGCTTGGGAACATGGGAGACCAAGTTCAAATATTCAGACTTGACCTGATGTCTCCTGTATCCACAAGGAGAGCCTGGACCATCTGTATCCTGACTCTTGTGACAGGGTCATTTTCTCTCTTATGCTACAATTCCGCTTTCCAAGTCTTTCCAGGCCATGTTTCGTAATGGATCAACCCATAATGTCACCCTGAGATGCAAGCCTGAAATGTCCCTGATTATATCTCCTCAATCAAGGAGCTTCCCTCACTCGTTACATGTCCGTGCCTAATTGCAGTTGGGGAGACAGCAGTATGGCAACTTCCAAGGCCCTACTGGTTGATATAGATGCGGCAAGTGCCTGCCTCGCACAATCCCTAAAAGATCTGTGTGGTGACAAATCTGAACATGCTGGCAGATTTATCCATTACCAGTGGCTACAGGCAGGTTTGGTAGCTGAGAGCCCTCCCTTTGACTCTGCGATGCAGGCACTGATACATGAGCTCCCTTTGCCTTCAGTGGGCATCTCTAAAATTTCCAGTGCACCTTTAAATCCAAGTCCCAAATGGGATAGATAAAGTAAGCCCTTATTCTTTCCCAAATTATGAAACAATCGAGTGACTGGCTCAGTTGAATGAGAGGCATCCCTCCATGTGGGGCTGTGCACATGTAACCCAGAGAGGTGCAGATGTAGCCAGTCATGCCAAGCCCCTTGCTGAGAGGGCAGGTTCATCCACAGTGCTCTCACAAATCTGTGGCACTGAGTCCCAGGTACTAGAGCTGGATAAAGGCGGATTTAGAGGGAACTCAGGGTTATGAAATAAAAGTAGTGCAGTATAGAAAATGGATGTCATGGGGACGTTGCACATAAAAAAAAAATCCAAACACTGGAATCATCTTTCTGGAAAACAGTTTGTTCTTTCACAGTGCTAGCTCTGGTTGGTTTGCATGAAGGATAGACTAACAAGAGGGCTAAGCAAGTGACTTGCAATGACTAGTTTAGTTACAAAACACCTCTATGTCCTTCTATCTGCAAAACCTTCTGCAAGCAAAGAGGATCACCCATGGTCACTCGCTTGAAATTAGTACGTGTGTGTTCACAAAATTATAGAATGGTTTGAGTTGTAAAGAACCTTAAGGATCACCTAGTTCCAATTTCCCTTCCATGGACAGGGACACCTTTCACTAGAGCAGGTTTCTCCAAGCCCCATCCAACCTGGCCTTGAACACAAGGGCATCCACAATTTCTCTGGGCATCCACAACTTCTCTGTAGTTCAGAATTCAGTAGTAGAATTAGTCATCTTTTGCAGAAAAATTCTGCACCAGTCACTAGGTGGACCTAGGTGAGCCCAGTGCTTTTAGTGATGGCCTGCTGAAGTGCACAACCACTATTTCCCATGAGAAATGAGATCTCATCTAGTAAGTGTAACTGATGTAATACACTGCAATGTACTTGGGGTGTGCAGCCAAGTTTTCG